ATATATATATATATATATATGTATATCTAAAAATCCTTGTCTTGTTACTGGTGAGTAGGGTTGAACTTAGTTTTATGTGAATTGTCTCCTTTAAATCTATAGGCTTAGTTATTGCATCTCCTTTAATTGAAATTGACCTAAGTGTTTACATTTTAAATTGCTTAAAAGTTCACCATGTTCATTAAATAAAGGATAAAAATGCTGAACTTTTAAGCAATTTAAAATGTAAACACTTAGGTCAATTTCAATTATATAAAACCACTTTTCTTACACGATTAATGTTAAGGGAAGATTCCTAATCAGCTTTTTGGAAAGAAAAATTCTTAAGCTGGTTTACCCTATTTTTTAGGCGGAAAAGGGTTAGGAATTATTTTAAACAACAACATGTAACCCAATTTCCCATACAATAAAATTAACTTATGGCCAATTAATAAGTAATAATCATAAAGAAGGGATTACAAAATTTGTTCCAGATTGAAAACTTCAACAAACTTTAAAAATATGAGTTAAAAAAAGACTAAACAAGGAATTAGCAAGAATTAGGAAGTTTTTGTAAACAATTTGACTATAATATAACCCCTACTCAACAATGTAGTGGTCAATGCTCTAAACCCACAAGCTATAAAAAACATTATAAAAAACACTATAGGTCTAAACCTAGTAAAGAAGAATTTTATCACCAAGATAAACGTAGACACCATAAAAAACCTAAGAGTAAAAAACCATACAAAAAGACTAATAAGATTTCATATAAAGACTTAACTTGTTTTAAATGTGGAAAGAAAGGACATACCTCTAAATTTTGCAAGTTCAATAAAAAATTGCATGAATTAAACTTAGAAGATGATGTTATAAATAAAATTCATGAATTGTATCTTACTTCTGATACTCTACTTCTGATTACATCAGATTCTGAGGTACAAAGAAAGTGAAAAATCAAATGATGAACTTAGGTTCAAACAACCAGTTCTTCAGAAAAAATCTGTAAAATATTGTTACAAAAGATCAAAATTACACTTTAGAAGTAATACATTAATTTGACACGATACTGTAATACATAGCTTGACAGATACTGAACTTAAAAGTCAACTTCTTAAAAAATTAATTACAAGTTTTGAAGAAAATAAAGAAGTAAAAATAATCACACCCAAAATTCAGACTAATACTTATGATTTAACTACTATATTAAATAAGAATAAAAAATTAGAAACAAAAATATCATTAGAAGATCTATATAAAGAACTTAAGATTTTAAAACATGAAGTCAAAGAATTAAAACATCAAGCACAAATACATGATGTCAAAATAAAACATTTAGAAACTCAATTGATATCTAGTTCCTCTTCGGATGAACCAGATGATAAAATAAATGAGTTAAATGAAGATGAAGACATAAATCCACATGAAGACATAAAATCCACATTTTCCTGCTTCTTTTACGGAAAATAAACCCAAATTTTCTCTTTCTTTTACAAGAAATAACATCTAGAAAATACTTAGTAAAAATAACTTTACAAATTTCAAATGATTTTCTAGTAAATGGCATAGCTCTGTTTGATACAGGCGCAGATTTAAATTGTATAAAATCTGACATAGTACCACATAGATTTTGGTCAGAAACTCATGAAAAATTAACTACAGCTAATAAATCTAAACTAGAAATTCTAGGTAAAATTGAGGCCGATATTGTCAATAATCAATTAGAAATCAAAACAATATTCTTACTTTCACCACAAATAAATTATATGGTAATATTAGGAACACCATTTATAAACCTAATCACACCATATTCAGTAAAAGAAGATTGTATTAAATTTAAAATTCAATTAAATTCAAAGTAAAAGGAAGTAGAGCTAGGTTAGAATTT